GTCTCCACTTGCATGAATTTACTTTATCTTTCTTCATTTACAGCTAAACCTCCAACTCCTGAACTGAAGCCAAAAACAGCCATTGAGGGGCAGCCCTACACTGTCACCTGCTCAGTCTTCCATACGTGCCCCTCCCATGTCCCTAAACTCTCATGGACTGGGAGAACTGGAGAAGTCAGCGAGGAACATAAGGACATTCGATTTGGCAACTGGGAGATCCAGTCTATCTTAGCGTTTGTTCCCGAGGAGAAGGATGACCACAGCCAGATCACCTGCACGGCTGAGTTTTTCGGACAGATAACGTCCTCCAAAACTTTCACGCTCTATGTAAAACGTGAGAACTTTGCACTAAATTGGTCATCTACTGAATTTGGTCTTTTTCTGATTCGTTTAATGTCTCTGATATGAATTCTGTCTATTTGCAGGTTCAGAAAACTACAATCACATCATCGTTCCTGTTGCAGTGGCCGCCAGTACAGCTCTGATCTTTGGACTCCTCTGCGTTTTCATGGCAAAAAAATACAAGTGAGGCACTGAATCATTTGGACAAATAACACAAATCTAACATTAACAAATGGGGATCATATTTCCATGCTCTGTTCTTTTTTTCTTCTCTCTTTGTCAGGAATCGTATTAGAGAGCTGCAAAATCGAGAAGGCAGGTGAGTAACAAGATATTATGTGAGATTCAGTTTGTAGTGCGACTTTTCTTTTCACTTCTCGTGTGATTCATGAACTTTCTTATTTATTCGTCACATGCAGCGTGTGGAACCGGCTCTCCAAAATGTCTCGCAGGTGAGAAAAAATAAATATTTTTGGGGGGGATTTGCAAGCATGAGGTTACTGTAGAAATATTTAGTCTCCAAAATGTGTGGGATCTCTGAGAGCACAGGTCATTAAAGGCGAGATCCACTTCGGGAGTATTTATCTTGATGGTTTTCAGAATTCAGTGACTTAAAACTGTAGCTTTCACACACCAGTGCATCACCGGTCTTACAGTCATTTCAAACAAATCTGCAGATGTTTATTTTTATTGCTGGTGCTGATAACATCTCTGCACATATCTACATGTGATGTGTTGTCTTATTTTCTGTTCCGCTTTTTCTCTTGTCTAATTAGGGGCAGAAGCTGAAGGTAAGAAGTGGAAAGAAAAGACTGTCACCAAAAATATGTGAAGCTATTCAACGCTTCTCAGAAGAAGAAGAAGAATAACTTCAGAAGAAGCATATTTACTCAGTTATTTGCTTGTTTGGACTGGTAGGACAGTTTGATGGTCATTTTGAACCCATTTACAGCTCTGGTGACTTTGTCTGGACATACTAGATAACAATATGTGAATCTTTTTTCACACAGTATTATCAGGAGTCATCTTTTCTTCATTCTGTTCAAACACAACAAACAAATGCATCTTCAGTCACAGGAAACATGCACTCTATAATTTTTCATTTTTTAAGGAGAGGTTGTCTGTAGTTTCAGTCAAAAGATAAATGAAGACATGAAAAAGAAAATTAAATACAACACACAAAATCAAATCAATATAAATGCAACAACCAGATTAAAAAAATAAAAAAAAAACTTTTTTAAAGAAGCCCAAAAAACTATCAATAATAATGAAAATCTTAATGAAATAAAAGTACAGTAATTTTTCACAATTATAAAGATTTTCAATTCTTAGTTATACATGAGATCATATCTGTGTTATTGCCATTTTAAGGTTTTTAAATAATGACATTTGCATTGTTGATCGTGCCGGTATAACCCCTGTGACAGGCCCACTGGTCCAAGTCTCCGGTTCTAGGGTCAGGTTCTACCTGCCTACGGACCCTTGACCTAATAGGATTCTGTAGAACTGCTCAAGCTGGTGTCGAGGAAACTCACCTCGCTTCTAACTGCTTTAATCCAGATTCCTGCCCCGCTTCTCAAACATTTGACTCATTTAGCCTCAGTAGTCAGATCACTCCACTTGATGGCAGCTTTCCTATCGATAGATTGAGCACTTGGTAATTGCCAGGTTACGTTTTAGAGGTTTGGGAAAACTAAACCCCAGGGAGGTGTTTAGAAATACTATTTTACTCATGACTGGAATGACTTTTAAGAACCACTATTAAGATCTCATGCACACAGTTGTCTAACATTTTACTGCTGCCATCCAATAACATTTCAACAAGTCTTTAAATGCAGGATGTAATATTTATTGCGAACTTTTAGCGAGGGCAAAACAACAGCTCTTGATTATTCATTCAAACATGTTACATGTGATAAAACCAATTGATTCAAGACAAAACTTATAAAACGGAACTTCTCTGGACATCTTCAGACGTGACCTGTTTTTGAGGACAACAACCTTTCTTGCTCTCTTGACATTTTCACCTCTTCTCTCATCTTTAACTGTGCAGCTTTGATTCTATGGTTACACAAAATCACCTTTAATTCAATGTTAAAACAACCATTTTATGTTTAAACACTTAATCAGTAAACTTAGAAAACACTACATAAAAGCCAGACTGATATAAATACATTAGGCGTCTCTCACATCGTCCAACAGGCTGTTTTTTGTAGCACCGAGTGTAAAGTTTCAAATGTTTTTGTTCTGCTTTGTGGAACAGCTAAAAAGGAACAACCAAGGATGTACGCGTCCTTCCAGTAATAGCATTTCTGAGACGTAGTCCAGTCTCATGCAAGGCCTTGTCGTACCTTATAAACTAATAATAGAATTTTAAAATCAAGTTAACAGGCAACCAGTGCAAATACTTACAAATATTTTAAAGAGTCTGAAATCCCTGCAGAGCTGCACAGAGAGGGGAAAACTGTATTATTCATTAATGTAGCTTTGTAATATGTAACTGCTTCAAATCTTTGTTTTCTTACTTTTCAGGCAATCAAAGGAAGCCGAGGAGAAGAACGGCAAAGGCAGACATGTTCAGACATGTTCAAATTCAAATGAATTCAATAGAAACAGGCAAATCACAGAGGTTACGTTCTGTTTGTCTGACTGGCTTTATTCTATTTTTCTGCTTTTATTCACTTCCTCATAAAAGAAGTTTCAGAGAAAAGACGCAACATATACAGCAGCTGATGAAATGTTGTTTTTTTCTAATTATTGTCAGTAATAACAGGATGTGCCGTCTTATGTGGATGTGAGACTTTCCTGCAAATAACCTTAACATAAGTTTCTATCGCAATACAAAGAATAAAAACTTACTGACACCCACCACTTTGTGTTGTCTGGACTGATTTATCAGCAATGAGAATGTGTCTTTGCTTGATTTGTCATTAATGTGTCGTCCACAAGGGAGAATAGGAACAAACCTTCCTCATTGTTTGTATCCTGATTGACTGTGACAGTCGAGCTTCCTGCAAAACGGTGTAAGAACGGCAAACGTCATAGTTACACTGAGAGGCTTCCTTAGACCTCGACTGCCAACATGTTGTTCGCTGCCCTTTTTTCTTCAGTACTCATTGTAGATGTTCATGTTGGCCAGACGGTGGCGCTGTAAGACTGATCGACAGCAGCGTAAGTCACTGAAGGGTGACGTGATGGCACTTTCAAAAAACTGTGGCAGTCTTTGATTTCAAAAAGACTGATTCACATGTGGGCTGCAGGGTGG